AGCAGCAAGTCTCAAAATGGAGACGTTACTGGGCCCTCTTGAGCAAATTGATGAACAACAGGAGGACAGTGCTACAGTGCTATAGGTAAAAACTTCATGATACTGGCGGCTTCAGTGTTCCTGGGGATTTGAATATCAGCAACAAGGAGTAGAGCACATGTTTGCATGCTGGAGCACCAGGATCAATTCCCCCATGCCTCCTGGTCCTGAGACCATTGCCAGGAGGGACTCTTGAGCACTGATCCAGTAGTAGCCCTCACACAGGATATGGCCCCCAAACAGCACTAAAGAAATGCATCATGAGGGTAGATTACAGTGGATAGGGCACTTGCCAAGTGTGGCCCACAAGCAGACAAAAAAAATACATCCTATTAAATGGGAGAGAATATTTCCATACCTTATATCTCATAGAGGGCTGCTATCCACGTTATAAGGTAAAGGCCCCCCGTTGATCGTCGATTTGCTCGAGCGGGCCCAGTAACGTCTCCATTGGAGACTTTGTTGTTACTGTGTCTGGCATATCGAATACTCTCGGTAGCTTGCCGGGCTCTCCGAGAGGGGCGGAGGAATCAAACTCGGGTCGGCCATGTTGGCCGCTTGTAAGGCGAACGCCCTACCCGCTGTGCTATCGCTCCATCCACGTTATATCCATGTTAAAATTTAACAACAAGCACACCCACACAATGGGGAGAACTGAACAAGGAAGATACAGCAAGCTCACCAAGGAAGACATAAACATGGCGAACACACACAGGGAAAAAAAAGATATTTATAATTTACTACAAAAGTGAAAAGCAGAATGATGAGATAAATAAGGCTAGAGACAAAAAAGTATTTGTAAGAGAAGTAGAATAAAAACAAACTCTCATACACTTGTTGGTGGAAATTAAATTGCTCTGTCCTCTGTGGAAACCAGAATAGAGATTTCTTGAAATGTTAGACATCTATCATTATCATAGCACCTAGAAATTCCACTCCTAGATTTTGATCCAAAAAACACAGAAATGCTAATTGAAAAGGTATTTGCACAGTTATGTTCATTACAGCAGCATTTACAATAGCCAAGATTTGGGAACAATATATGTGTCCAATAACAGATAACTGTATTTTAAAAAATGTGTTAAAAACATGTATACGCAACAATTGTCAGGCTATTAGAAAAGATGAAATCTTGCTTTTTGCTCCAACAAAGATGAAATTGGAGAGGGTTCATGTTAGGCAAAGTAAGTAGGAAGGAGAAAGACAAATACCGGATGAAAAAACAAAGCAAGGGAACAGACAAAATCCAACAAAAACAAACCCTTAGATTAGCTGAGGTTATGAGAGGAGGTGCAGTGTGAGCACAAAGATTGAAGGGGATTCAGGGGACACTGGTGGATATTTACACTTTGGTCCCGGGCATGATATAGTAACCTTACACTCCTAAAACATTTATACTCTTGTAAGGCAGTGTTGCCTCAGTAAAGTAACAAAAACAAATAGAATGGTGATGGTCTCATTAAGAATCTGCTGTTTCAGAAGACTAAAGGGAACAAAAAAGAATATTCAGAATGGAAAGTATTGCCCCTTACAAAAATGCATATTCAGTTCCATTTAGCTTTGGGCAAAGAAAAGATTTGAGATGATTTTTTTTTTTTTACGCAAAACTCTTGTGTGTAGCCTCAAACCCACCAAACCTGGACACATTCATGTCAGTCATCTTCAATTTAGAGCCATTCTGATAGATGGCTACTAAAATTATAATCTTTTTTTGAGACAATACAGAGAAAACCTGAATGAATTTTCTCCCTCTTGAGAAAATGCTGGGAGCAAGGTACCATCTGGTAGTCATATACAAATTTGTTGTTGTATAAGAATTTATCATGTCCTTTCAAGAAAAATAAAGTGCCTCCAAAAATAAAGTTCAGGAAAATAATATTTCCATTAACCACAGTATTAAAGATATTTGCAAAAATCTAAAACAGTGCTGTCAATTTTGTTTTAGACAATGCAGTTTTTATTTTATTTATTTTGGTTTTGGGTCTACACCCAGCAGTACTTAGGACTTACTCCTGGCTTTGCACTCAAGTGGGATTTAGGGCACCACATGGGGTACTGGGGATTAAGCCCAGGTTGGCTGCATGTAAGGCAAACACCCTACCCAGTATACTATAGCTTTGGCCCAAAAGTGTAATTTTCATAAAAACATATTTACTGCACTGTTGTAAAACAATTGCTTATAATAAGGCAGGCAGCTCTCCCACAGTTTTAGCATGTAGTTTGGAATATTCAGTAGCCAATATGTCTCAGTTTTAGTTACTACAATTTAGATAACACCATCCCACAACAGCCAGTTTCACTACCATTATGTATTAATTGTGAGTAGTTAAAGTCAACTTTTGCTTCTAGCTTTATTCCACAAACCACTGTGTAATAAGCATTCATCATGATCAGTTAATAATCACATTACTTAAAAGTTATCATTGATCTCTACTCATGCTGTTAGTTTGTGCATGAAAACAGTTGTTCACAATAATTCATTACTTTTAATATTCAAACACCAATCCCATTGCACCTTCCAACCACCATATTTCTAATGTTTCCACCCCAAATCACAAACCATGCCCCCAAAGCATAATAATTATGAAATACGAAATAATTTTGTATAGAGGAAAGTGTGTGAAATTGTTGTATAAACTTAGATATTTTATTAAAAGAAAGAATTGAAAGAATTAATTGGCCAATAAGATAGGCAATAAAGCAACTGAAAGTGGTAATACTGAAAATAAAAATTCAAGATAAATGGAGTTTTATAATTTTGACGCTGTTCCTACTCAAGGGAATTTAGATATGTGGATAGAGGAATTTAGTGAAGCTGGACATGCTTCACTAAATTAGCAACATGCTTGTGACGAAAAGGATGAGGATATCTCAGAGAAAAGGCAAACCACTTCACATTTATAGGGCATCTCAGATTTTCTCAGTTTTGAAAGTGCAAAGGATATAATGTTGGAAACTGATGCAAACTTAGAAAGGAATATGACAACTTTCCAAGACATAGAAAATATACTCATCCTGCTTTTGAAGTTATGAAATGATATGCAAACATAGTTCAAACTGCTTACAACATGTTTTGTTTTCTAGGTTTAATTCTTGGTGTTTCTCATATTTTAAATAACTATGTGTACTAAATGTAGTTTAATATGTTATAATGCCCCTACATATTATAACAAGCTGGGAAAAAAGCATTTACTGTTTGGACAGAAATTTTTAAGTGTTGCAGAACAATTGTAATTACATTCTGCCAACAACATTCTGCCTGACTCCAACATGCACATTAATGACTACCATGCAAAATGAAGACTTGCCTGTACTTAAGACCTTTCTGTTTATTTTCTAATACAGTAAATATAGCTATAATCCATAAAGGACATCTTTTTGTACTTCCCTTTATGCTCAGAGCATGCATTTTTCTCTCCTGAAAATTTAGCAAGTAGTTTGTACTTCTCTATCACTCTCTAGATTTATGTTTCTAATTATTTTACAGCTTTCATTCCCTTCTCTTTATCCACCATCTTTACTAAGACACTCATCTATTACCCTTCATAGTATATGACAGCAGAGGGATTGCATGAGGTAAATACATGTGACAGATTGTTTCGATGGTGGTTATATAAATATACCCATGTTAAAACCATAACTTTCTTGTCTTGCCACAATGTCAGGAATTAAATATTTCCTTATCATTTCTTTCAAATTTAATGCTTACAGATAAATCAAGATCTTGATGCATACCATATTGGGGGATGTAGTTGTAGGGCAGCAGAGCGCTTGCCTTGAATATGTGAGGCCCTGGTTCAATTACCTGGTACCATATATCCAAAAAGAACTTGATAAATAGCATTTGAGGCATTGTTACAAGTGCTAAATAAGATATAAACACATCTAAAGTAAGCAGACTTGAAGAAATTTGTATTTTAGATAGAGATAGACGATGCTATCTCAGCAGTAAAAGAAATTGTAATTTTTTCTAAGGGAACTACAAATAAAATGCCATGTTATGTGAGGGTTATACAAGAGGATAAATCTTTCTTGAGTCGATGGCATATGTAAGTCAAAAATAATGGCATTTAAATAAGGGGGAAATATGAAATGCTGCACATGTGTAACTGAGCTCCAGGAGCCTGAGTGGTGGTACAATGGGTAGGGTAAAATCAATTTGGTTTCGATCCCTGGCATTCCATATGGTCGCCCAAATCCCATCAGTAGTGATTCCTGAGTGTAGAGCCAGATGTATGCCCCAAATCAAAATAGAGGTCCAACTATTTGTATTGAGCCTCCAAACTTCTTAAAGCATTTTAACTTGACACTTCTAATTCTTATGGACACGAGTACAACTTTTGAGTATTTTTTTCTTATCTGATTGTTCTGACTACTTTTCAGTATTTTGGACTTACTGGCATCTATTTAAACTTGTTATTTTCATGATTGTGAAGGCAGCCTCAGTGTGCTTTATATATATATACATATATATATATTATATAGGCGGGAGTGATAGCACAGCATGTAGGGCGTTTGCCTTGCACGTGGCCAACCAGCCGACCTGGGTTCAATTCCTCCACCCCTCTTGGAGAGCCCAGCAAGCTACTAAGAGTATTCTGCCCGCACCGCAGAGCCTGGCAAGCTCCCTGTGGCGTATTTAATATGCCAAAAACAGTATCAACAAGTCTCACAACGGAGACGTTACTGGTGCCCGCTCGAGCATATCTATGAACAACGGGAGGACAGTGCTACAGTGCTATGTATAATAGATATGCAAGTATAAAACATATATGTAAAAAATTACATGATAAAATGGAATAAACAGGAATTTTCAAAATATGTCATCAGGTATACAGCATTCTATAGTACTTCCCCAAATTAAGTTCATTGCAAAATTAAGTTTTTCCTACTTAGATAAATGAATAAATTTTGCTTCAAAAGAAATTACAATCTTTTTTCTTTCTTTGTCTTTTTAACAGATTTTCTGTGAAGACCCTGATTGATCGGTCTTGCTTTGAGACAATTGATGATTCTTCTCCTGAATTTAATAATTTTGCAGCTATTTTGGAACAGATTTTAAGTCACCGGCTAAAAGGTAATAGAACTGATACATGTCTTTATGGGTTTTGGGTGTGTGTCGGGGCGTGGTTGGGCAACACCCATCAGTGTTCAGGGTTTACTTGGATCTTTGGATTCTTTCCATGTGTTGCTCAGGGGATCATATGTGATACCAGGGACGAAACCAGGGTCAACTACACCCTAATTCCTATGCTGTCTCTTTCATCATTATATTTTTTGGTTCTTTCAAAATCTGTTTTTCAATAAAATTGAAATTCTAGAAACCACTTTGTTATACTTTAAATAGGTATACCACATCTTGAGAAACATAACAGCCATTTTAGAATGCCTAATCTTTTGGCCTATGTCCATGGAAACAAATTTAAACTTAAACCTTACCAGATGCATTTATAATGTTGAGTGTATAAATTGCCCATATAAGGAGCAGAATAACTTTCCACAGTAACTAAAATAAAATCTTAAAAGGTAACCTATCTTCACGGGTTATTTTACTGAGGACATTTTACTCAGTTTACAAAGGAACATTCAGGCATTAGTGTATTTGAAAAATCTATACTTCATTAAACTGAAGAATCTTTGAATACCTTCGAGGTGGTCTACTTTAGTTCTCTTAAAATAAATCAGCAAATATATTTATCTTAGAAGCATAAATCTCTTAAAATGCAAAAGTGAAGATAAGAGCTATGTTCTCTCAGAAATATAAAATATTTTAAAGTTAAAAAGATACTTCTCTAGGATGTATGGTGCCGCCAACAGATCAGACCATACCTGTGGGGCGAGTGCATCAGCAGCCTGATGGTGCTTTCAGACTTCCTGACACCCCAAAATTGCCTTTGTGCCTTTGGCCAGACCACAACAACTTGGGACCACGTTTACCAAGAAATTAAATGGCCAAAAGTTAGGTTTGTGTGAGCCATACCCACAAACCACCTCTGGCTAAGCTAGACAAGCTTATTTATTGGCCTTATTTCAGAGACCATAGATAAATCTTGAAAAAGATCAAAAGCCACAGTTAATCTCAGACCTGCATATGACTGAACAGACTGAGGTAAATCGGAAGGGGGCAAGTTGGCCTGTGACTGCCCAGGCAGAGTACCCGACCACTTGCTTCCACAATCCAAAATCACCGCCATACCCCCAGCCTGACTCCACCATCTCAGGATTGACCGCACCAAGATATAATCTGCTGAAAATTCAGAGACCCATAAATAAATCTCGAAAGAGATCAAAAGCTAGAATTTTCAGCAATATTTCATATTTCTGAGAGAACACAGCTTTTATCTTCACTTTTGCATTTTAAGAGATTTATGCTTCTGAGATAAATATGTGACTGAAATTTCTAGGCTTTCTCAGAGTTTGGATGGGCTACCACTCCCACTTCCCAGTACACATGGAGGCTTTGGCAGTCACCCCCATGAACCAACTCCTGAGCCACCCTGTAAACTCTACTACTGGCCTTGCTTCACAGCCACAGTCACAGTCCTCCCGTTGTTCATCGATTTGCTCGAGCGGGCCCAGTAACGTCTCCATTGGAGACTTTTGTTACTGTGTTTGGCATACGAATACGTCACGGGTAGCTTGCCAGGCTCTGCCGTGCGGGCGAGATACTCTCAGTAGCTTGCCGGGCTCTCTGAGAGGGGCGGAGGAATCGAACTCGGGTCGGCCATGTTGGCTGCGTGCAAGGCCTTGCTTCAGAGACCCATAAATCTCGAAAGAGATAAAAAAATAGAGACACAGTAGTGAGTCCTGGAAGACATCACAGAGACGGAGATCTCTCCGGGCCCTATCCTGAGACAATTTTACCAGGTTGGAGCAGGTGCAATCTCACTGCTTACCCCGGTTGGAATCCTGGTGACCAGGAGCTTCCACAAGCAAGGCCCAGGTATGTGGGCTCCAGGACTAAATCTCCATGCTGCATGGCGGCAGAGGTGCTGGACTGTCCCTCCCCGGCTCCCCCACCTGCTCATCAGCCTGATTGTCACCCCAGCAATGTGCCTCTGGGTGGCATCTTAACACACCAGCAGCCCTCGTCCAGAGATGCCCAATTGAATCCTGAAATGGATTAGTGCTCTACAGAAATGTCTCTGGAACCCAACCATTTACAATCTAGGATTCCAGAAGTGCGTGGCTGCGACACCCAAGATATTTAAAATGAGCAGTGGACAATAAATGATCTAGCATCTGCCCCTGGCAGGCAGGCTTGAATGGTGCTGGGAAAATTCAAGCAAAGCATAATGCCCAAAAGTAGAGAGTATTGGGGAAATTGCTTGCCACTGTGGCAGGGTGAGGACTGAGATAGTGAGTGAAGGATATAGTGGGGACACTGGTGGTGGACAGTGTGCACTGGTTGAGGAATGAGTGTTCGATCGTTGTATGGCTGAATTTTGAACATGAAAGCTTTGTAACTATCTCACGTTGATTCAATTAAAAAAAGTAATGTTGAGTTCATGCCTAATTCAATCAGCTTAATCAATAGCTGAATAAATAGCAGTACTCCTACAAAAAAAGGGAAAAAAAGATACATTTCTAAAGTAGAGTTGATGACTTCAGTATGTGTGCAGCATAAATCTTAGCAATAACAAGCAGTAATCAACCACATTAATCTATCTGGTAGTCCCAAAGGAAACTTGATCAGCAATAGTTTTACTTAAGACTTTTTTCACTTGAAATGGAGGTAGGGAGTTGGTGGAGAGAAGTGGACACTGATGAACATTGTATGCCTGAAACCAAATTATGAATAACTTTGTAATTTTTTGGAGACTAAATTAAAAGATATATAGATATATGGTGGTGGGAGCAAGCAGAGAAGCTCTGTCCCTGGGTCCGCCGAGCCTGGAGTCCAAGGTCTCAGAGAGTTCCGCTTATCTTGTTCTGTGGGTCTTCAGTTGTGCGTGGGTCTCAGCCGGAGCTGCCGCGCGGGTCCAGAAAGCGTCCTGGAGTGTGGCGACGGCTGGGTAGTGGAAGTCGTGTCCACTGAATTGGGCACTCCGAATGCAACAGCTATGTCTACCTAGGTCGAGAGGTCAACATGACAAATGACCTGGCACCCGAGCTGTGCAGGAGGAAGAGAGCGGCTTGGAACGCCTTCAAGAACGTCGAAGAAATAGCTAAGAGGACGAAGAACCTCCGGCTCCGGGCACATCTCTTTGATTCCACTGTTCTTCCTGCATTAACATATGCCTCAGAGACCTGGGCCCTACGCAAACAAGATGAGAACGCCATTCAGGTCTCCCAAAGAAGAATAGAAAGAGCTCTGCTTGGAATATCACGTTTCACTCAAATGAGAGAACGAATCCGGAGTTCTGACATCCGTCGACGATCAAGGATCAGGGACGCTGTCTCATTTGCCAAGGTGTCGAAAATCAGATGGGCTGGTCACGTAATGAGATTTAAAGACGACCGTTGGACTAGAGCTGTTACTGATTGGATTCCACGGGATGTCAAGAGACCGCGTGGCCGCCCACCTACCAGATGGTCAGACTTCTTCGTCAAGATCATGAACGATCGGTTTGAGGCCCTTCATGTTCCCGGAGCGAACAGATGCCATTGGGCTACACTAGCACGCGACAGGGACAAATGGAGACGTTACTGGCGCCCGCTCGAGCAAATCGACGACTAACGGGAAGTTAAGTGATTAAGTGATAGATATATATTTTACTTCAAGGCAAAAATTTTAAGATTAAGAAACTAAAGTATCACAGTGTTACTATATAGTTTTAAATCAGTAGTTTGTTTTGGTAATTTATGAAATAACAAACAAACATTTAATTGGAAAATTATACCTGTTCTTAAAATTGTAATGCTAGAAACTTCATTTTTACTATATTTAAATCAGTTAGCCATACCTGTGGGTCCACAAAGGGCTAGACATATTTAAATAGAAGAGAAAAATAAATTTAGTCAACCATTTTCAGCTTAAAAGGATTACATAGAAGTGCAGTGCTTTTTATTAAAAGTTGATTATTTTGCATTTGAAAAGGTTATTTTCATCCTACTTTTGCTCTTTTGTAGTTCCTAAATTTTGTTTTTATTTTTACTATAAAATTTTATTTTTTAATTCCTAAATTTTATTTCAAATATAGTATATTTTATAAGCACTGTAGCACTGTAGCATTGTTCTCCCATTGTTCATCGATTTGCTCGAGCGGGCACCAGTTACTGTTTTTGGCATATTGAATATGTCACGGGAAGCTTGCCAGACTTTGCCGTGCCAATGAGATGCTCTTGGTAGCCTGCCGGGCTCACCGAGAGGGACAGAGGAATCGAACCCAGGTCGGCCATGTTGGCTGCGTTCAAGGCAAATGCCTTACCTGCTGTGCTATCGCTCCAGCTCCATATTTTATAAGAAAATAAATTTTTATAAAAGTTAAGGATGTTAGAGTATGTTGAGATATTGTTGGGGTTAATATATTATATAGGGATCATATATTTAAATTACATAAATATGTAACTAATATTTTTCTGGTAAAAGCACATATAATAAGCTAAATATTAATGTAACTTAATGTTCAATAGTATTTTTATCATAAGGCTTCAATTACCTTGGTTTGGTATACTATTTATTAGATGATTCTTCCACAAAATATATAAACTTTTATCAGTTGGGTTTTGTTGAACTGTCTCTGCTGAGTGATTGGGTGGACTGCTATCACAATAGTAAGTAGGCAATTCTTGCACATCAGTCTGCCATTTACTGAGTAATCTTTCAACAAAATATAGATCATAGAGCTTTAGAAATGCTTCATAGCAATCTAATCTGCGAGTGCTGCTTCTGAGAAGTCAGTGAGTTACTACATTGAGACTAGAATCTCCAGTGAATTCTTAGATAAGATTTCTACTAATGTAGACTATAGACCAAACATGATTGTCACCTATTGCCTCTTTTGCAAAACACAACACCCAATAAGAGAGAGAGAGAGAACAAAAGGGAATGCCCTGCCACAGAGGCAGGGTGGGATGGGGGGGATAGGGGGTGGGAGGGATACTGGGATCCGTGGTGGTGGGAAATGGGCACTG